ACTAGGAAGAAATAAGTTACCAGACCTTAGGGGAGAGGACCACCTGCCCAGAGACTAGACCCTCACTGAGTGGGCCAGCCTCTGAGACACCACACAAGGCCAAGGGAATATTATCCTGATGTCATTTGCTTCCTTCTCTGTGTCTTCATTTCCCCTTTTATAAGGATACTAGTCATACTGGATTGGAACCCACACTAATGATCTCAGTTTAACTTGATCACTTCCTTAAAGACTATCTCAAAATAAGGTCACATTCTTAGATACTGAAGGTTAGGACTTCAAAACATGAATTTCTTGGGGACACAATTCAGCACATACCAGAGCCCACTAATGTAATCTACACAGACCAGTGTCAAAGGTCCAGAGTAGAGAGAAACACATTATAGAGTGGATCTCAAGAGGTGCAGAAATTTAGTCTATTGTATACTGTAGCTTAGCATACCCTGCTAAGGAAAGTGAATACTTAATGGATGTTATCTGCTCCCTTACTTAAAAACTCTCCAGTAGGTCAATATTGCACATAATATAGTTCATAATTCTTACTGTGGCATTCAATGACTTAAACAACCTGATTAGCATGGTCTTTGCAGAGCTTACACTCACTCTTTCCTACTTAAATGTCTCAAATATACATTATTTCCTTTTTCTCATCCTTTCATACTATTACTGACTTAAGAAAATCTTCCTATCATCATTTAAGAGAAATAATTTAGTGTGGTGCAGGCTTTGCATGCAGTTCTGTGTGACTTGAGAAAATATTCATTAATGTGTGGGTTTCATTGGTGTAGGTCAGTCTTCTTAGGTCTCATTCACTGTTCACATAACCCCTATACTATTTTTTAAAAAGTCAACATGATTTATTGCATGTCCACATGACTATACATAAACAGCAACTGATAAATGATTCTCTCGAGAGTAACTACAGATGTTTTGTGTTTGTTCTAGTTTATTTGGTTCTGTACAGCTCTTAGTACAGGAGCTGCCTTCCCCAAACAAAGGGACAAACCAACAAAATTCATGAGAAAGCTCTAGGAGAACTGGTAGAGTTATGCAATTACTTTCAAATCAGTATGTAGATGATGAGTTAAGATTAAGACTGCAAATGAAGGGATTTTTTGAAATGCATGAATGCATTTTTAATGGCGTGCATTTAAAAAATACTTTAAAGTCCCATAATTGACGAGGTCAAACAAGCCCAATTTATTTCTACTTTTGAATTACAAATCTTACCTCTTCAAATAACTAAGGTAGATGTTAATTAGGACTTTAAATTGGGGGAATATATGCACTCACATAATAATATGTTATGTATAATTACATCATAATATATGTGATATAATGGAAATATTTATTGATGCTTATGAGAATACAAGTAACACATGGTATATTGATAACAATTAATGAGTCATGCATAAGTATTATAAATATAACAATAGACATAGATAAACTGCAACATCTCATTATCATGTTTGTGTCTGCCATAGAATGCATGTACACTATCTTTATCTCTCTCGACACCTGGTGCTTACATACACCCATGATTTTCAAGAGTGGGTGACAAATGCATACCTATTTGTGTTTGCTTTCCCTCTGGATATACTATATGCTGTTGTTCATCAGCCAAACCTCATTGCTTGGTCCTGGTTTCATTTTCCCCTTCATTAAAAGATGAGCAACAGCTATAGCTAATTTATCACTAAATAGTTTTCAATATGTGTGTTTTTAGTATCTTCATTATGCCACTGTATATTTCACCGTATTTAAGCTCCTATTTTCCTTCCTACTTTTGTTAGGTTAAACAATCACTCATTTGTTTTTCAAAAGGGCCAAGTTACCCTGCAGAACACATTGTCTTGTCCTAAAAATACAATGAACTTCGCTATTTTTCCCAGAGGATATTAGTTTCTCTCTTTTTGAGAAAGCCCTTCTTCATGGGTCTAGTGCAACCTTGTCGTTTTTTTCCTCAGCATCTCATAAGAGCATGTGAAGAAGGATGTGTCTCCTATATTCATATTCAAAGAGAATGTCACCTTTAACAGAAACAAGGCAAAGGAGTATAGAGTTCAGAGTGAAATGTGTGCATAAAATTTATCTTTACTTTAAAGAGTATGTTAATGGTGAAAAAAATTATGACCACAACATTAATTGAATTAAACTTGAAACTGAAAAATAAACTTAAAGTTGAAGGTTCTTTTCTTTTTACTTCTAGAAGTTTGTTTGTTTATTATTTTCATTGTTTTTTTTCCATTACCATTTGTGCATTCTACACAGTATAGAAAACTAAAATTAATGGATCCCGCTCTCATTTTTGTTCTTTGTATATGATAATCTAGACAAAAACAATTGCTAGAAATTTTCCATTACTTCAAAAGAAACCAAGGACCTGTGAAGCAATATTTCTGAATAGAGATAATTTAGACTAGATATAGACAAGTTATCAGCTATTTTCTGTTAAAAATAAAAAGCAATAGTGGATATTAAATTGCAAAAAGAAAGTTATATAACATAAAGGAAAGTGACATTTTTGTTATTAAATATTCTTCAAAGAGACATGTGACAAGGACAGTAAAAAACAGGTATTCTTGAGACTTTTAAAAAATGTTTTGCATTTAACATTTCTTTTAAGAACACTCTATATAATATGTCATCACCTTTAAAACACAGACTACACATGTTATAGTGAAAAAAATTATTACGTCAGGCAGGTGATCTGTGTTCTAGTGTTGCCCTCCCACAAGCTAACAATGTGATCTTAAGAAAGATGTCTACCTTCTCTGAGTCTCAGCTATCAAATGTGCAAAATGAATGTCATGGACTGAATTATGTCTCCCCAAAATTTGTATGTTGAAGTCCATTCAAACCCTCACTACTTCAGAATATGACTGTGTTTGAAGACAGAGTCTTCAAAGAAATAAGCTAAAATGAGATTATTTGGTGAACTCTAATACAACATGATGATGTCCTTCTAAGAAGAGGAAACTAAGACAAAGATACACATTGAGGAATATGATATGAAGACACAGGGGAAGATAGCATCTACAAGCCAAAGAGAGAGGCCTTGGGAAAAAACAATCCTGCCAATGCCTTCATCTTAGACTAAGTTTTGGTTGTTGAAGCCACATTGTCTGTGGTAGGTTGTGACAGCAGCCTGACCTAACCAATACAATGGGCATTATGATTGGATACAGTCATGTGTTTGTGAAGCATGTGGCACATGGTAGTTATTTAATGTGTGCTAATTAATATTGTTCTTGCTGCTATTTATTTTGTTTACTGGGAAGGTAATTTATAATCCTTCTCTTTATCTTACCTTGAACACACAGCAGTTCTTTTAGGATAGGAGAAAATAAGAGATCCAATTATATTTTCTACAGTATGGGTCATAGGGCCCATGACTTAAAAGTTATTCATAGGTTTTGGAGTAAGAGTAGCTTTGGAACCCTACTGTTTCTAACCATATTATTTTCTGTATTTAATCTCTTTATCTTTCATTTTCCATCTGGGAATGTCAATAATAATTAAATTTGCTTTTTAAAACAAAAAATCATATATATATACATACATATATATATACACACACACACACACACACACACACACACATATATATATATGTATATATATATTAGAATTACTACTGGAGAAAAGTGAGCATTTAATAAACTGTAACTATAATTGCTGTGTTCTCATCTACTTTTTAAAGCCTTTTCCAACACATCCCAGGCCAGAACAGCTTTTTCTGGTACACCCCTCTGTCTCTCCCATCACCTCTCATGTGTCTTTTTGTTTCCTTAGGAGCCAAAATATGTCTTTTGTGGCATGATTTCTACTGCTGCCCCAATGCTCATATACCTGCTTTTCCTCTAGATGAAGGCAGTCTCTCTGTCCAGAGAAAATATACTACGTTGGCTAAAATAGCATTTCCCATAGTGCATTGCCCCCAACACTGGTTACTCAATTGGTTAAAATGCCAAAAAAAAAAAAATGTTAAGGGTTCTGTGTCCATGTCTTGAGTTAAGCAAAAAATATGAGACTTTATTAAATAGAATCTCAGAGGTCTTAAAATGCTCATGTGCATTTTGAGTAGTCAGGAGAGGTATAAGTAATATAGCCTCTCCTTAATTTTGTTGATAATAGACAGTTTTTTGGTTAATATTCTTAAGAATCTATATTCTAGACAAGATTTAAATAGTTTTGGTCTAAGGAAGGCAGAACTTCCTTAAAACCTCTCCTTTAACTTCTTTTTCAATCTCTCTTTTGGTCTCTTTACTGTCTTCTTAATCAGCTTTCAGCAATTATTTTTTACTAAATAATAATCTATTTTCATAACAAAGTAATTTATTTTAGTCTACATATTGGATAAGGACTGTGGTACACGTTTTAAAGCATCACTTGAAGGTGAAAGAGGCAAAATAACAAAGAGACCCTAAATCTATATTAACATTTAAACCTTACTAAAAATCAAAGGTGGCCAATTAAGGGCAAATGTCATTTTCACTTATCAGATTGGCAAAAACTGATGTTTGTGAGGGTTTGGGGATAGAGTCACCTTTAAACACAGCTTTTGAGGATATAATAGTATGTTATCAATAATTATTTTAGCTTGACTGTGGTATAATAGATTATTTTAATTGCCTTATTTATGTTTTTTTTCTGGGTATTCTAAGTTTCCTAAAGTAAATGTACTATATTTTGATATCAAAAGAAGTACATTTGTTTCTATGATTTCTGTAAGTGGAAAATAATATGAGGCTTTCATGGCTTTTTTAAAAAATCAGCTTACATAAGTTTGTTGATAATATGGCCCTTATAACCTTTCCCCAGTGTGAATTTAAGGACATAATAGAAAAGGCAAAATGGTTTTATAAACATTAATTCACATACAGGAACATGTGAACACTAATCAGGATAACCTCCACTTTGAAATGGCAAGAACAATACCCAGAGGAAGTCTTTGCTACTTACAAGGTGAAGTGGAAAAGAAAATAAGTATATCTTACCTGATAAACAGTGAGTATTTCTGTCCATCATCCACTTTAATAGTGGTGTTAATGCTTCTTAATTTTGCTTCACCGGCACAGGAAAAGTAGTACTATGGGAAAAAAGTTTTTCCTTAGTATTTTAGTGTGAAATTAGCATCTCATACTTGCATTTGACTTAACAATTGACCAATATTTTTTATTGTCTTAGTGAGACAAGAAGTCTGAATCTTAAAGAGTGACAGCTCAAGGTATATAACCAATACATGCTAGAATTAAAACAAAGTGTATATATGTTATATACATATACTTGTGTATACCATGCATGTGTACACACACACACACACACACACACACACACACACACACACACTTTTGGTTTCTTTTCCAGTATTCTGGGGCATCTGGTTGAGAGAAGCAGCTTCTTCTGCTAGCAGGAGCAGGTATTATCGGAAAATTTCCTTAGATATTAGCACTGGGCAATGAGAAGCCAGTATGAATATAATTCTAGAGGGTGATGTTAATGTCACAGGAAAGGGAATTTTAAAGATTATGAGAGTTAGCCATATATTCTAAGTCTTCTAAAGCTTGAGGAGGTCTTTTGTAGGATTATTGCTAATTGGACCAATTGAGTTATGGTTTAAAAAGGGAAAATCATGTCTGTAACTGGTACATTTGACCAGACACTTCTGGGAATTTCATTAGTGGGTTCCGTAGCCTATTTGTTTTCTAACAGCATATACCTGAAATGTATATTGGTTATATTGTGGCTAGTCTTTCCCAGAAAAAGGCTATCTACCCTTTATTGTATCTATATCAGTAACTCGTTGCAATTAAATAAAAACAGTTGCATAGGGTTTCATAACTCCTATAATCTAGCTATATTAAACTGATACATCTAAATCTTCCCACATGTAGCCATAAGGTAAATATAATGCTATGTATTTTCATTTTTAATGGTATTTGGGCATTGCAAAATGTTCCTTTCCTTTATAAAAGTATCTGCTCCAACTTTACTTTAAGAAATACTTCAAACAGTATTGAGATTTTCAAAAACAAATATACCTACATACACTTTGTAGGAAAATAAGATGTATAACATTTGGCTGTATATTCTTCTGAAGCCATGTGAAACTAAGTTAAATTCTCTGTTTGTTTACTGAATTTTTACCCTGTGTCCAGCAAACAACCAAAGTTACTTAAGAATACATTGAATAGTTTTGACAGCATAGATAATAATTTATTTGTTTCTTATGTACAACACTTCGAAATCTGTGCTGTTAGTTAAGACAGTTGTTTAAGCTTAATGATAATGTACTGACCAACAATGCGGGTGTATTTGGGCAGAGCAGTTTCCTTAATTTGTTAAAATACTTCATAAAAATACTTTTCAGGTAGTACTATGTTATTAATTTCTATTATCTTCAGGGGTATCAAAATTAAACATATATAAAATATTCAGTGGGCAATTCTATTAATTTTACTTGAATTTTCCTTACTGTAAGTGGCTCTTTTATGATTGTATAAAAAACAGAATTTTCTGCCATTGATTATTTACTCCATATCATGGATTTTTAAAGCACTTTATAAGTGTCAACTGATTGTTTCCTTTCAAAACAAAAGAAAAAGGCAAACACAAAAATATATGGAAAAGGAATTATCTTTTTATTACCTCCATTAAACAGAGGTAGGAGCTGAGGTGGAGTGACTTGCCCTCAGACAGGGAGACACAGTGATTTGTGACACAGCGATTTGTGACACAGCTAATAAGTTGGTGGGGGGTGGGGTGGGGCTGATATTTGAGTTCTGAATGGAAGTATCTACCTACTTATCCCATGTTATTAGAGAAAGTCCAACAAAATATTTTTTAAAATTAAGTTTGATAAATAAAACTTTAGAGTTTAAATTTTTAGAGAAAATTTGACTAACATTCTGCATTTCTAGAATTTAAATAGGTCTTAAATTCTAATCATCATAAAAGTTTAAACACAAACATGTCTTTTTGTTAAAATTGTAAGGTAAATTATACTTTTGAAATAGATGAAATTATAGCCTCACAAATCATAGAGGAACAAAGAAAATCCTAAAATCACAAATATATAAGAATGCTGAAATTTTCTCTAAATCATTACAAGGAAGCAATGATGTGGGTGGAAAGAACATAGATTTTAGTACTGACACAACAGGGTGAAAATGTTTGATCTACCACCCTTAGTCTGTCCACAGGATCCTTGTGAGGTGCAAAGGGAAAATACCTAACCCTCACATTTGATTCATATGTCATAGGCATTCCTCCATAGTTTATATATCTTACTTTCTCACTCATTGCATTGCATTTACTTCACAATACTTACTAATATACTAATTTAAACCTCACAACAACTTGTATTACCCTTACTTTACAAGTAAATTTAAGCACAGAACCCGTAATTTTCTCACAAGTTCTCAAAGCTCTTAAGGAGCAGAGCTGGGATTCAAATTCTGACATTCTAGCTCCAGAGTCCATGATCTTAATAAACATTCTTAAGATGGAGCTTGATACCTAATTGCAATTCAATAAACAATAGTAATTATTATTATAGATGTATCAATATATAGCCTTTCTTGTCATAAAACTTGTAAGAAATGCTATACCTCTCTTTATCCTTTACATTCTACAATTCCTAAAGGTCTTGGTTCAACCTATCATAAGCTTACTTTTATTCATTCGAAAGTGAAAGAAGTCTCCTAATCCATTATATTTTCACCCAAAATTCTGACAAGTCTCTGAACATCCCTCAAAATGTCTGATTGGAGATGTCCACAGTAGTATGAGGAATTAGCTGAGATAGACACTCAGTTGTGGCAGTTGAGTCAGCAGCAGAAAAATGTACTAAGAGGAAACATTCTGAACATGACCAATGCCTTATATTTTCTTTATAATTCCTTACATTTGGTCTCTACATTTTTTCTGCTCATTTTAAGATGAATGGAAATTTCTGGTCTTAGCTAAAAAATACTGTACAGCAGAGATCAGCAAACTTCACTTAGGTGAGACTGATGTTTGATAATTTATTCTGGCATACCTTGCTCTGATTTCACATGTTTATTATTATTTGTAATAAATTGGAAGCAATACAAGGAGAACAAGATGTATTTCATTTACCATTGAATCTTCAGAACCTAACAAAGTGATTGGTAACAGATAAATATTCAAAGAATGAGTGAACAAATGAACATATGAATAAAAATGCTGCTACTACTATTAACCCTTTATATCTGTTTGACATTTATTTGTATAAATGTCAAACAGATATAAGACATTGGTATAATACATTGTACTAAATTATGCATGTGAGTTATATTAAAAAATTAGAATTTCTAAAATTTACTTTAAATAAATTTAATGGCTTACCTGTAAAGTACCATTTTCAATAAATAATTGGATAAAATATCCATCTACTAAATTTGAGTCTTGCTTGATATAGAGCAGGAGTCCATAGGAGTTGAAGGTATGAAATTCTAGGGAGATGTTATTTTGTGGATTTAAAAATATATTCTGAAATTGTAGATAGGAATCTCCATAATAACAAACACAACTGAAATCTGTGGAATCAGAAAAAAATGCAATTTAGTTTGGAATAGTTGTCCAAGAACTGGGTGTCACATTATTGTCATCAGCATAAGGTTTTCTGAAATGGCTCACACTTGACTGTTTCCTGCCTGTTACAACACAGGCACCTATTCCTATGCCATAGTCACAGTGGTTTGTCATAATTTATGTGTATTGAGGGATTCATGATTAAATTTCACTGCAGGGCACACATGTCCAGATGATTAATTTTCAACATTGCTTAGGTTTTACTGAGATTTTATGTTATAGGTCAACAGAAATAGAAACATTTTCTAAAAGTGTCACTCACTGCATACATAAGGTGTTGATACAAAATTATGATTTATGTTATTATTAATTTGATTGGATTGCTATGAGTGCCAATAGAGGCAATTGGTATTAAAGGAATTACCACCTTTTTGTGACACTATATTATCTGAGCTTCTTTAGAAAATCTCTCATTTCTTTTTTCTTTTCCCTTCTGAATGATTACATTTTAATTACCCTTAACCTTTCAAGCAAAATATGGAGATATTTTGAGCAAAATACTTTAATTAATTAACTAATTAATTAATTAATTTTCTAGTCCGGATCCACATATTATATTTAGTTGTTATATCCCTTTAGTTTCTTTTAGTCAAGGATAATTGCCTACTTTTTTTTGTTTGGTATTTATTGTTTATTACATTTACTTTTTAAAAATAAATGTATGATGTTTTGAATTTTAGCCTCTTATTCTTTTTGTCTATTTAAAAAAAAATTTAATTGTTCTTCGATTACAGTTGTCCCCACTTTTCCCTCATTACTCTCCCCTGTCCTACCCATTCCCCACCTCCCTTGTTCAATCCTCCTCTCTGTTGTCTTTGTCTATGGGTCCTTAATTTTTGTTCCTTGACTTGACCCTTCTCCTTCTTTCCCCCATTACCTGCCTCCCTCTTCCCCTCCGGTCACTGTCAGTTTGTTCTTTATTTCAACGTGTCTGGCTATATTTTCCTTGCTTGTTTGTTTTGTTGATTAGGTTGGACTTATAGGTGACAGCATATGGTATTTGTCTTTCACCACTTGACTTATTTCACTTAGCATAATGCTCTCCAGATCCATCCATGCTGTTGCGAAGGGTAGGAGTTCTTTTTATCTACTCCATAGTATTCCATTGTGTAAATGTACCACAGTTTTTTGATTTAATGAAATCTAGTTAGCTTATTTCTCTGAATAAGGTGTTAGTAATTTTATATTAATAAAAGTTTTCCTTGATAAATACATAATTGATTACTATTGGTTGATATTTCTATAGCAATGGATTTGAGCATCTTCTTTCTTTCTCCTTTCTTCTCTTCTTTCTGTGACATACATTCATGGACATCAATACTCTCCTTCAAAACTTTCAAGTTGCTTATTCTCTTATAATTAATAGCAGAAATTATTCATGAAACTTTGAATTTTAGTTTGCTGTCCATCAAGGTTAGATCTTTTAAAAATCTTTACTTTAAAACTGCTATATATTTTATATTCTATAAGAAGTATTTTTGTTATTTTAAATATTTAATAAAGCTTTAAAACTACCATATTTGTTATATATAATATGCATCCATGTTTTGTGTGAATTATACACAGGATTACTATCCTCATGGTATATAATCATAATACCCATGTATAATGAGAATCCTTATTTTTCCCTCAAAAATTTGGGCAAAAAGTACACAGTATACAAGGCAAAAAAAATATGGTACTCATTGTGCAAAATTTCCAAACTTGTAAAAAAAAAACCTGTAAGAAAATAATCAGCCAAACCTAGAAGAAATTTTTCCTTTTAATCAGAAATAAAAAAGCTTGAAATACTTCCAGAAAACATTTGTGCTTTGTAGACATATCAAAAGCATATGTGTTTTTATCAATACTCTATTAGAGAAAGTAGCTCCAAAATTGAAAATATTAACAATGTTCTTTCAATTTTGGCATTGCCATTGTTTTAGTTGTTATATTTGAGACAGAGACAGATATTTCCTCCTTATAAAGTTTCTTTTTTAAAGTAACTCAACAACTTTTATTAAAGACTTGTATTATTAATTATAAATCAGAGCCAGTCACTTACTGAGCCATTAGAATTTACATATCTGTTTGTCTGTAGGCAGTGGTTCATTTTCTAGTAATTCCTCAAAAATAAACCATAGAATCAAAGAATGTTTAAGTTGGGAGGTATTTTGGGGGTCTCTTGCTTGACGCTAAGCTGATAACACTACTGCAAAGATTTTGACTCTTAAATAATCCTTTTCCTTGTAAACTTTTAATGATAATGTTAAAAGCATGGTACAATAGAATTTCATATATTAAATAATTTTTAAAAGTTTTAGCCATTTATTTGATTGAATTGGGAATGAAGTCAAATATTCATTTTACTTATAAGTTCAAAATATGAAAGAGCAGAAAATATTTTCAAAGTCTAATATTATAATATGAATATATCCAACATTGGTGAAATAAAGAAACTACTATATATTTTAAATGCTTTAGAAGAAATTTATTGTCCAATCAACAATAGCAAACTCAAAAACTTATTTAATTTCATTATTTTGGGATATATAGTTTTATGGACAAAATTTTTGAAAATTAAGTGGCTTGGTCCTCATGTGACCAGCACCCTGTACAAAGTCCACACGTTTACTCATTGGTCAGCTATGTGGAGTCAAGAGCCACACATGTTTGGTTCATTATTTTATTCTAAATGACTGATTTTCTTAAGCATGTAAGCCACTTACTATCTGTTATGAAAAATATAATTGCTTTTGTTTAAATGTACTTGGAAAATTGTGTTCTGTTATGTTGGATAAAAAATCAGGAAATATTTTGTACAGAGTATTAGATCATGTTTGTAGTGTTTCCCATTCAAGTGCATGAATACAGACCCCAGTTTACACTCCCTTTAGCAAAAATCTCAAATAAAAAGAATGATGATGTGAAGAAAAGTACAGAGACTATTTCCAGTAAAGATGGGCTAGCGCAGTGAGTTTCATCCCATGTGCCACAGCACACTGGTGTGTCAGAAGGACTTTTAAAACACACAATACCTGACTATTTAGTTAGGGACACTGACCAGTTTTCCTTTAGATTGTCAAATAAAAAAATGACAACAGCCAATACAACAATTGTCACTTGATATGAATGAATAAAAAATTGTACCTTTTTTTGTCGGATCACTAAAAATAATATACTTTTAGTGTACCACAGAATTTTAGAAATTAGTTTATGTATGTCATGAGACAAAAAAATGTTGACAATCACCAGGCCAGTGTTAATATGTTTTTCATTATTGAGAATTCAATTGTTTCTGCCTCTGGTTGTTCCTTTTTCCAAATAGAAAAAAACTTTATCTGAATTGTATGCCCTCATATTATAATTATACCTCTGAATGAGTATGTATGCTTTTGGTACAAATAACCAGAAAGCCCAATTTCAAATAACTTCAGCACTAAATAATTGAATTGCTTAAGTGAGAAGTTCAAGAATAGGGTGGGCTTCCAAATGAATGTTTGTTTATACAAAAGGATAGCTGGCTTCTCAGAAAACACCTAGACTTATTCTGTCTGTCCATTCTGCTATTCACAAAGTATGCTTTAATCAGACTTGCTTTTCTCCTGATTTAATATAGTGGTCACTGGTAGTTTAAGTTACATAATTCCTCATTTGTGTCCAGTTCTCAGTTTCCTATACTTTCAAAGGAGAAAGGAAGACTTTTCCCAAACATAGAATGAATATTGTCAAACAGCTAACTGGCTAGAACTGGATTACCAATGAAGCCCTCCATTAAAGATGAGGATGGGGTCATCTTTAGATGCTGTGGGGATGGGTCACAGTGGACCAAGTGTGTTCTGTTGGGAAGAATGCTACAAAATCAAATCCACATACCCGAGATTTATAACTTATTTCATAGTTAATATCTGACTGTTGGGTTCAAAGACTCAGAATGCTCAATTACACATACAAACTAAAGACTTTAACTTTCATCTCCAGCTTCCTGCCTCTGCTACTCCTCCTGAGAGGTAATTTTTTATTTCACTTCTAACAGCACATATTGAGTATAAGAGAGTATAAAACTAAAAATTTTACTTAAAATTTGGTTGCTCTTGCTAGGTGGACAGATGCCAAATTTTTTTGACTCATAATTATTTGAATATCCAGGGCATACTGATCCATAGCCACTTCCACTACATGAGGGTAAAGAAAAGTTCAAAGATGTTTAATGAAAAATCAGGAGTCAATATACCTGACCCCCCCTACTGCACAAAAAGAGGAGGTTTAAATACATTGAAAGAATATGAAAATAAATATACTTTAGAAAAAATCAATAATATAGGCTTTAGGCAAAAACAAATATTTAAATTAGAATGAACAATATAAAAGTAATGTTTCTCCTTTTAATAAGACAATACATAGAAAAAGTAAAAGATGAAAAATCTTGAACCATTTTTTTGATTTTTTGGTTAGAAGATCAGAAAATACTAAATAGATTTTAAGGGACAGTCTTTTTATTGTTAGTGTTCTATGTATAAGTTTAAATGTGAAAGTTGGAATCTTATAAGAGGATAAGTGAACACCAAGCTTTTCTACAAGCTGATAGTCTGATAATGACTCTGTAATGACTAGATAGTTTAAACAAAGAATATAATATTTAACCCCATTTCTAGTAGATTATTGTCAATATCTGTGTAATCCATGAGTAATCTCTGAAAGAAGAGTGACTGTATATGTATCCATATACACACATCCCTAGCTGAATGTTAAGAAGTAATTCACAATTAAGATGCAAAATGGTCCTTTGTTTCACATATCTTAGAAATTTTATCTAGGAAATAATAGTGGACATTTGTGATACATGTGTATACAATTTTTTGTTAAATGAAGTACTAATTTGAGAAAAGACTATAAGTACAAGTTAAATGTAATTCATATAGGAGGGTTTACTAGACTGTTCATAAAGAAACTTTGATGAGTCTCA